TTTTTTTTTCGCTGCGAGGGCATTAGACTAATATTAGGTTACATTCTGTAGATAATATAGAGTAACTTACATCTATGAGAGCAATCATGACGAATCGTACCAAATTGATATCGGCTTGGTTCCCAACCTCTGGGGATGCTCGATATTCAACCTGAAGATGATACTAAAGATTTAAAGGCCATATAATCCATTTAGTAGACTCAAGCACTCACCTGATTAGCGAGAGATTCATATGCTCGGAACGTCGTTAGAAATTCTCTGGTATAGGCAAGATGTAGCGCAGCAATAACGAATAATACAAACATCTTCAGATGATGTGGGTAGAACTGTCCCGTCTGAATGCGGAACATATGTATCATAAAATGCATGGAATATAAAACAAATTGGGAAAGATGCTGTTTATTTGAGATTTAGACTGTAGTAGTTTTAGTCAAACATATTATTTCTAGGCCGACCTATCGTTCCCATTTTGATAAGCGTTTTTGTCTTATATGTATTATAGCTTGCATTACTGTAAAGAAAAGTGAACCTGTAAAATGATCCCTGAGCATTTGCACTAATACTGATCGCTTCAAGCTAGATCAAAATGTAAAAGCTTTTCATTATGCTCAACAAATGCAGTTCTATAGCAATTGTATTTACACATGTACTTATAATTAGCTCCAGTCGTGCTACACGTCAATTTTCCTAAAACGTTATGAGAAAATGTTTCGTAGAATTCCTGCAAATTTGCTGAAAGCCTACACTGAATGACACAATCACTAAACTACATCTCCACCCAAGTAAGTTGCATTGAGAAGCTTACCCAACAAGCTGAAGTTTTCAGGAGGTCTGCAACTTTATAGCTAGAAGTCTTAATTGTTAGCACCAAGTGATCTCTCAATTAACCTGTTGTCGTGACGCAGATGCGGTGCTGATACCGAAATCCTACCCAGTGATGAGTTAAGATAAGCAAAGTGTCCTTGAATGATTAGCTAAATATGCTACTAACAAGGGAAGGATACCAACATTATCTGGCATACCAACATGGTTTGTATATCAGTATACGCGTCATCAAACTGTTTCAAATCTGCTTTCCGTTTTTGCGGAATAACTCTTCGAAAGAAGTTATGAGCGTTTATATGTCGCAATTTGTCAAGTTTTAAATGGCATAAAATTAGCGAAAAGCTCTGCAAAAACATCTGAAAGCCAGAAATCAGTCTTCTATCGAATATGCCGACTACAAGAAAGGAATACGGCCAGTGGAAATTCGCATACATGTTTTCTACAGCTGTTCGCTGATTTTATGCTGCTTACAGCATGAGTAGTTTAACTTTTAATCGCTCATAACTTCTTTCGAAGAGTTGCTCCGCAGAAGCGGAAACGGACTTGGAAACAGCGTTCGAAAACGCATCTAAGGATATACACCTCTGTTTGGTTTGTGAGATAGTGTTGGTATCCTCCCCTTCTAAGGATGTTGGTGGCAATTCTAACAAATGCATGCAATCTATGTTCAGAGGCACCATCGTAACTACAGTATCCACTACTCGAGGATTTCAAAAACCCTCATAAAATAACCCCTCAACTACGATAATGAATTGTCTTCATGTTCATCAAGTAAGGCTGAGATATTCTTAGTATACTTGTCCCTATTCCAAAAGTATTTTTTGACCTTAGAACTCGGCACTGTTCATCTGCTTCTTTTCTACATTTTTGAAGTGAGATCAGTAGAGCTTTCATGTTGGCAGTCGCTTCTCGATAAATATCATATAGATAAGATAGCTGATAGCCTAGTTTTCTATATCAATATGGACTCCATGACATTTACTACCAAGATAAGAAGATGGTCCTCAATCAGATGCCAAATAAGGCTTACTCGCGATAATGCTACAGAAGTTCACGAATCAATGCGTGATTCATTCTGACAAAACAATTAGATGTAAATTAGCCTAAGAGAAAAAATATCGAAGTTTTGCATTACAGGTCCAAGTCTTCAGAACGTTATTGGGGTCTAAGGTAAGAAAGCGAAAACAAAAATACGTTTGTATGTGGCCAAATCAGTGAAAAACATGTTAAACTTATAATTCTGTTTACACCTTTCAATTTTTGAGATCAGAATTTTTGAGAAAGACTCACAAACAAATTGATCACTCGCTTGAACGAGCACCTCCATGTTCGCGGCGTGCCGGAACTCTGCTCGTTTTCATCCGCATCATAGAGTGACTCCTTCGTTCGAGCCGCCTCGATCAGGGCTGCCGAGATTGATGGCATCTGAAAAGGTGGCGGAATCAGTAGCCAGGAAGCAAAACTCGGGTTTTGACGGACGGGAGCCGTGCTGGCCGACGACAGCGAAAACATTCGGTGCAAAGCTATCAGTGCTGCGTCATCGCGGACACAACGCTGTTCGAATCTCTCACAGCAAACTATCGAGCCGTCAACACAAAGGCTGACGAGAGGCCCTGGCTGGCCGGCTCTCTGTGATCGGAACAAAGACAGTTTCGAGCCATTGCACATGGCCCCCAGTCGATTTGATGGGGCCATTGCAGCAATAAAAAAATTTGAATTTTT